TGTGGCAGTGCTGCGGTCAGCCTGCAAGTGGCGGGTGAGCGCAGGAGGGGCCGCCCCGAGCCACCCGTGTCCCACTACTGACCCCGCAGCCCGAGCCCCGGTGCTGGCGCCTGTACTCATGGCTCCTGCCTCTTTTTCTCCCACCACCCTCCCCTGTCCTCTGCCACCCTCCAGCCCCCTTCTCGAAGCCCAGCATGACCCTGGAGCCCAGCAAGGACCTGCGCCCCGGGGACGAGGTGACCATCACGTGCTTCAGCTCCCGGGGCTACCCCGAGGCCGAGGTGCTGTGGCAGGATGGGCAGGGCGCGCCGCTGTCCGGCAACGTGACCACGTCGCAGACGGCCAACGAGCAGGGCTTGTTCCACGTGCGCAGCGTCCTGAGGGTGGTGCTGGGCGCCAATGGCACCTACAGCTGCTTGGTGCGCAACCCGGTGCTGCGGCAGGACGCGCTGGGCTCCGTCACCGTCACGGGTGAGGGCAGGTGGACGGCGAGGAAGGGCTGGGGGCAGCTACCTCCTTACTGGACCCAAAGCTAGCATTCTGATCAGTCAGAGCGTTTAGAAAAATCACTTCCATAAACTTCAAGTGTCCCCGACTCTCCCCAACCTGAAGTCCTTAAGGGCCTTGCTTTAAGGAGGATAAGAACCCTATGTAGCAGGTGACCTCCTGGGAGTGCTTTATGGCATTTATTATATTAAGTTTCCGTGTAGCCTGCAATCCCGAGGCAGGGCGGGAATTCTGGGGTGTCCCATGAGAGCGAGTGCTTTTCAGAGGGGACCTCTCTGGGTATTGCTGGGCCCACGGGTACCTACTGATCCTAAAGCCCTCAAGTGGCCACTGCATCACAGTGGGAGGACCCCTTCTTCCTGACTTGAGCTCCACCCTGGCTGCAGTCGGTTTGCTTGGGCTGTCTCTGCTGCCCCCATGTGGTCAAACAGTAGATTGCGACTGCAGGTTTAGCTGTGTCCGGGTCTTAGCCCAGGTGGGCACCCTGGTGCCTAGGGGTGTGACAAGGGCTTGACCTCCCTGTAGGCCATCTGATGTTTCCCAGGACCTCTTGCATACTCGGTGGTGGGGACAGCAGCTTCTGTCTGTCTGGTTCTCTTCTCTCCCCACGGTTTCCACTCACCCTCACCCCCCAGCCCACCTAAGTTCTCATCTCCGCTGGGTCCCAGGGCTTGCACAGACCTCAGGACCCCTGACTCAGGAGTCCTGCTTCTCTTCCTTGAGTGGGCGGGTCCTCCGTGGCCTTCATTTCTGATAAGCACAGAGCCCATGCCCTCCGGCATGTCTCCTGGGAGTTCAGGCTCATGTTACCATGCTCCCTTCTGGCTGCACTCTGTCCCCTCTGCTCACCCCCTTCCCAAGGTGGAGGAGGAAGCAGATGTAGGGTGGAGGGAAGCTCCAGAGTGAAGCCTTCAGAGAAGGGGTCAGTGACAGCAAAGCCTGCGGGAATAGGTGGGTTGAGAAGGCTTGGGGGGTGCTCTGTGGGCATTTGCACCCTGGGCTGAGCTGGGTTCTCTGCAGAAAGGGCTCCAAATGCAAATGTGACCACAGGGAGACCTTTACCCCACTTAGGAGAAGGTTCTTTTTGTTTTAAGAATATTTAATTTTGTCATTATTATTATTTAATTTGCTACAGGACACATGCAGTCATCAGAAACAGAAAGTGAGAAAACAAACCACCAGGTCTGGGACTTGAACCATGGTCAGACATGTGGGAGTCCAGTGCCTTTAGCCACCATACCACCTGCTGGCCTGGAGAAGATTAGTTTAAACTGTAGTAGCTGACACTGAAAGTGGCTTCACTTCTCCAGTGTTGCCGGGCACATCTCGCAGAGAGGAGAGGAACTTTCTTCCCCAGAGCCGCCTCGCACAGCAGCATTGTGTATTCCGGTGTGTGAGTGTGAGTGTGTGAGGCACATCTTTGAAAACAGGAGAAATGAGGCTCGAAGCAGTTTGCACATGGCCTAGGAGGGCGTATGGCCTCTGGACTCACCTATGGAGGGCTACGAGCCGGGCTCTGCGCCCTCACTGAGCAGGTGGATGGGGACTGGAGTCGAGCTTGGGCTCTCAGCCTACTTTCCGGCCCTCCCCACCAGCCAGCCTCTCGTTCGAGCAGGTCTGGCCTACTTTCGAGCCCTTGGCCTGCATTTTGCTCTGGGCAGCTTTGTGCCTGGCGGAACACTCTGGACGCGGGCCCTCAGTCCTCTTAGGTCTCTGCACCTGACGGAGTGAGTGTGCTATATGGAGCCTCTCCGTGGAAGGCTTCAGGACACACCTGAGGGCGTCGTCTGAGCCCCGCTCTGTTTTCTCCTGGGCGAGTGTGGCAAGTCTGATCCATGTTCCAGGCACCAACACCAACCTCAGGTGCACAGAAAGGGACCCCAGACAGGGCCGCCCCCACCCCGCAGCCAGGCCTCGCTCAGGGACTTCTGTGCTCCATGCCTGGCCCTCCCGGCCACCTGTGTCACATGGTGCTGTCCTCTCCTTCCCAGGGGGGTGCTGGGTCCCTGGGCTCCTAGTGTCCAGAGCAGCCTTTTCACCAGCCATGCCCGTCCAGGTCCGCCCCTGTGATCCCTGCTGTGAATGCCTGCACCAGCATCTATAGCAGGAGCATTAATAGCCCTGCTTGCTACAACGGTGGCACCTCCTTCCCATGCCCTGGGCACTCATTGTCTCCGCAGCCCTGTCTTTTGCTAGATCTTTTTTTCAGGGTCCCGACCAAGGGCCTGGCATAGGTCCAGGGGCCGGGCTGATGGCCAGTGTATGTGACAACCCCGTAGGGCTCTGCTTGGAGCAGTTCCTGGCCCTGAGGCGGGTGGGCTGCCCAGCGCCTTCTCCTGAGCCATTGCGGAGGGGGTCACTACAGAAATGGAGCACGCACTAGCTCACGGGCCATCGTACCAGATGTGGCCTGTGGGTGGGAGACGTCACCCAGTGGGGCTGGAGTATTCAAGGAGAGCTTCCTTAAGACTCAAGGAGGTAGGGGCCAGCAGGTGGCAGGGTGGTTGATGCACTGGATTCCCATATGGCTGACTGTAGTTCGAGTCCCAGACCCGGCAGTTTGCTTTCTCACTTTCCCTCTCTCTTTCTCTCTGGTGAGTGCAAGTGCCCTATAGCAAATTGAAAGTAAATCATTAAATTAAAATTGAAAAGAAGACTCAAGGAGTGATTCTTAAGCTGGGCAGAGAGTTTAGAAGCACTGTGGAGGTACGAGAGACTGAGCACAGCAGAGACTGGAAGGAGCCTCTGCCGGGCAGAGGACGGTTGGCATGGTGGCTGAGCACAGGGTTCTGTGAAGGCAGAAGGAAGTTCTGGGAGAGAGGAAGCCCTAGCCGGGTTCCACGGGGCCTCAAGTCACCCAGAGAAGCCTGGAGCATTATTCTAAAGTCAGTGGGAGCCATAGAAGGTCCTGGAGGACCACTCAGCTACATGCTCTTCAGCCTCCCAGGTCAGGCACGTCCACGTGTCAGGGCAGAGACAGGACTGGCATGGGGGGAGAAGGGCAGGGAGACCTATGTGAGTCTTCAGTGTCAGGACCCAGCGAGGGTGGGCCCTCGTGTGCCCCTGGGAGCCCGGCGGTGCTGTCCTCAGGGCTGTGGGGCCAGGCATGACTGTTGCTCTCCCCGCCCCTCCTCCCAGGGCAGCCCCTGGCGTTCCCCCCGGAGGCCCTGTGGGTGACTGTGGGGCTCTCCATCTGCCTCGTCGTCCTGCTGGTGGCCTTGGCCGTGGTGTGCTGGAGAAAGATCAGGCAGAGCTGTGAGGAGGAGAACGCAGGTGAGCGGGCCGTGCTGTGGGCCGTGTGGCTGCGTCGGTGACGTCGACGGTGTTTCTAGTGACGCGTGTGCAGGGGCGTGCACGTGGCTAGCTGAGTGACCTAGATCCGACTGTGTCTCGTGTGTGAACAGTGCGAGCTGGCCAGTCGTGTGTAAACAAGGCGGGGTGAGTGTGGGCGCGAGTGTCACCAGACGAGGGTCGTGTGAAAGCCCAAAGCTGGGGAAGGGGATGCATGTCCTGCAGACACGTGTGTCCCAGGCATAGCTGAGCGAGGGAGCGGGTGTGGCGCTCGGAGATGGAGTGGCATGGAGGTGACGGTTCTCCTGGGTAAGCGTGTGCCTGCCTCAGAGTGGGTGGACGGAGGCGGCTCTGCAGCCGGCTGGTGTCGGCACGGGTCACCTTTGGAGATCGGTAGATGGATGAGTGGACGTTGCTGGGTGGTGAGCTGACCTGGTGGGTGGCGGTGGGTCAGCGGCCCTGGATGGTGGCTTGTGTGTAGACAGAGGCCAGGGGGTGATGGTGTCAGGAAGGAGGGTGGAGAAGAGAATGCTGGCAGATGGCTGGGTGTCTGTGTGGGTGATGGTCAGGTGGGCAGTGGAAGGGCAGCATGTACCCAGGAGTGACGGGTGACCAGGCTGGCAAGCGAGTGGGGAAGTGGCAGGGCAGTGCACTGGTCGGGGCTGCGTGACGTGGTTCTTGGCTGGTGAGTGTGGGCTCCGGGCGGGGGGGTCTTTCCGCCTGTCCCAGGCTCTGCTCTGCTCACAAACTTCAACCCTGTGTCCGGCACTTGGACGACAGCAAGGGCCACCAGACCCCATGTGCCCCCATCCCCTCCCGGGGCAGCGCGGGGCTGAGAGGGGCTGCGAGTTTTCTGCTCACTCTGAGTTCTTGTCTCCCAGGAGCTGAGGACCAGGATGGGGATGGAGAAGGATCCAAGACTGGTGAGTTGGACTTGGACCCAGACAAGGACCCGGGGCAGGAGGGTAGCTCTGGGATGCAGAGGGCCAACCTGCCCTAAGGTTTGAGTGACTGGTGTGTCTGGGCCAGGCCCAGGTGTGCACGGCCTGGAGGCAGAGCTCCCATGCCCCCGGGCACCTGCCTTCCCCTGTCACCAGGCAGTTCACCTCCCTGGCCCAGCCCGGGAGCCTGGTGGCCTCCTAGGGTGGGAGCAGGGCTTGGGAGACAGTTGAAGTTCCAGCTCCATCTCATAAAAGCTGAGTGGCTTCGGGCAGGCCGCTTCGCCTCTCGGTCTCAGTTTCCTCATGCGTAGAATCGCAGACCAGCAGGTCCGTAGGTCGTGTGGGTCAAATTCAATGCACAAGGACATCAAGTGGCTGGTGCGGGGACTGCCTCACAGGCAGGACCCTGCGCCTCGGGCAGTGGCATAGGTCTGTCCTCCCGGTCAGAGGCGGCCATTCAGACGGCCCTGCTCTAGTCAGCAGCTGTGCCCTTTGGACAAGGTGCCTTGCTCCTCTGGGTCAGTTTCCCATCTGTAAAATGCCACCCCACCCTGCCCAGTAGCACCAGAGGGCTGTTTGGAAGCTCTCGGGTGACTGGGTAGAGAGGTGTCTTGCCAAGGAATGGCACTGTGCATCTGGAGCCCAGCCTGCCGGGGGCCCTACGGCACCGGCTGGCACCGCCACCGGGGGGCCGCGACCCCGGCGCGCCCCG